TTTTTTTAAATATATATCATTCAGACCAAAATGTGATTAAGTTACCTCAATATGTTGCTTTGGTAGTGGAGTTGTGCTGAGTTTTAAAAGAAAAGAATTTTGAAATTTAACCTGATTGGAAGACAAGGATATTGGTCGGCTCAATGCTTGCAGGTATTGCAAATATACCGGCTATGTACACAAAAATGACAGTAACGTCAAGTAAAATGGTGGCGTTTGCTAATATGCAGCAACAGTGTACCCTACAGGCTAGGGGAGTGTGAGATGGGTTTTGTTCATTAACCTAAGGTAAAAGTTTTAATCAATACCTTCAGCAGAGGAATTTTACATTGCTTCCATCTACCCTGCTACATCAAAACTACTGGTATCACTCCAGGGTGAGAATTACAATTTAATTTTATAGAAACTGGGGAGAAGTTCCAGCCCTTATGAGCCTTAATAGCTCTGAATGATTTACCTTTAAACATTTAACAGTATTTATTTTAGAAACATACTTTTGAAAAAAATCTTACCCCTTCACTAACATATGCTCGAATGAAAACCGTGTATGTTGATTCACTTTCCAATTTTCCATTAATGCCAACATGTGGGTAAGGTACAGATGTACACTGTCTAGAATTTGATTGACATCCACTACCGATGGTTATTTCTTTCTGAAACCTATTTGATAATTTAAAAAAAAAAACTTTGTCTACATACACAGAAATCATGTAAACTGATTGACTTTTCAATTTCCTTTACCATGAAACTCTTGAAGCCGCGTAGGGCCAGGGAGCCGCGTAGGGCCCCCCGGTGCGGGTCCAGGGGGCTTCGCCCCCTGGAAGCCACGGATATTTGATGAATTATGGCGAATTTTTATTACTTATTTGATAGGCATCGAGTTACTATAATATGACTTCATATATGCTATGCTTTCTAATGTTGACATCAGCTTCCAAAACCAAAACATTTTGAATAAAGCAAGAAACAAAGAGTATGCAATGTAACCATCTAATATATTTTCAAATCCTCATTCTTGAAAGTGAAATTCTATATTTTGGAAATTTTGCATGAAATCTGTCAACCACGTTGACATGGTCGAGGTTGCTTCACCTATCACGATGTATTCCAACCATCATGAGGCTATCTAAATGAGCATTTGTCATATCAGAACACAAATTATTTTTAATTAGTCTCATTGAATTATTATTATTATTATTATTATTATTATTATTATTGTTATTATTATTATTATTATTATTATTGTTATTGTGGTTGTTGTTGTGATGAAAAGTTAACACAAACGATATGGTGCCTAAACGAATATTACATGTAAATATTTCTTTTTATTTGTTTGTTCCCCGACGAAATTTTGCATGAAATCTGTCAGCCACGTTGACATGGTCGAGGTTGTTTCACCTATCACGATGTATTCCAACCATCTATAGCCCCCAGCCCCCCCTCTGGCGCCACCCCTGTTCCGTACATACTTTTTTCTGTACATGATTGCTTTCTGCAGTAGTTTAGGTAATTTAAAGCTGGTTAATACACTCAATGATACTGACTGATGTTACAGTGGCCCTATTTACTGTTTTATAGTATTAATTCCCAAAATTTACAGCATTAATTTTGAAAAGAAGCCAACTCTTTACTTTGCAAAAGTATCCCTGAAAAGAAGCACATCCAAAAGTTGCAAAAAAAGAAGCCCACGCTTCTATTCGAGGTTTTACGGCATAAAACATCAAAACATACTGCTAGGTGGCAGTTTTTCTTACACAATAACTACTGTATAATAATTACTACTTTTGCGCTCCCCGTGGAGTAATAATTTTTCTCCAGTATAAAATGTTAAAATCTTTAAATTCAGAAAATTCATTTTGAATTTGTGTTTGTGAGGGGATAATGCTCCCCTTCTCCTGACATTGGGGAGGGAGAAGGGTGTGGAGCTGATGGGGAGCCCAAGGTTGATGATTAGATGAGGGGAGAAGTACAGGTAGCTTGCAAGATGAGATGATTTGAGGTGACTTATAACTACTTTTGAGAGTGAAGAGTTTTTTTGGGTGGGTGGTATGGGGGCATGACTGGGTCAGGGTTGGGCGCAATTAGTTTTATGTAATCCCCATGTGCACATCCACTAGATACACCACTGCCACTGTTGAGAGAAATATAATTACGCTAAAGTAAATGAAAATCACCTCCTGATTCAAATCACCTCGTTTTCGAGCTAGCAGCACCCCACCCCCACCACCATTTTTCAAAGCCATTTTGGATTTGACTTAGGCAAGTTCAACTGTTATAAATTTTATATTAAGAAAATATAAAAAATTAACAACAAAAACCCAATAATGATGATACTTATAAAATCATTAATTATAATACTTATAAAATCATTAATTATAATAAAAATAGTAGATTATTAATAATAATTTATATTTGAATGAATTCTCTGCTTTATTTAGCTTATTTTATTTTACGATTTTATTTCCACCAAGGAACAACTTACTCTCCAAATGCAATAGCAATGTAAGGCACATATGGTTTGTTCTTAGCTTCGTTGTAAGACTTTAGCTGATAGTCTGGGAATTCTCTGTCTGGATCCACATTTTCTACATCATCACTAGCTCCCCACTGTACAACAATTACTGCATAGCAACTGCAAGAAATGATATAAGATAACTTTTGATTGAGAACTTAAAATAAGAATGTAGGACAGATTCACTCATCAGTGTCTGTCGTCACATGCATTTTATTTTGAATCAATTTCAATTTTCTAAGTCACACCAATGTTTAATCAGTATAGTCTTCATTCTGGCCTGAACATAAATTAGGCTGACGATCTTGCTCGCATAACGTTCAGACATACGTGGTTAAATTAACATGACGTCATTAAATTGTACGTTCTACGTCGTTGCAAATGGAAAGCACCCTCTAATTTAAGTAGCCTCCCATGTGTCGATGTGATGCATACAGATCATCACCAAGAATCAAGAATACTTTATTTTCATCAATAAAATATGTGAATGGCATTTGTTTTACTTGTTGCTAATAGCATCCTAAAATAAATATGGATATAAACAAAAACATTACATATATATAACATAAATAAGAGGTTCAAGAGTAGGATTGATTAGACATTTTACTACTACTGTATTTAGTTTTGTGCTACACACACATGGTGTACTTTTCAGATAAAATTGCCTGACTAAGATCTTATACATAAACTTTAATATTTGTTATATGTATATTTGTTTAATAACTGATGTCTGTACAAGTTCATTGTATCAATGTATTGTAAATTTAGTAATTGTGATTTTCTATAATTTTGATAGTTGCAGAGCTAGTGCATCAAAGATGTGTTTGAATATTATTGCAATGTACCAGGACAAATTAATATAAATATTGTTGAATGAAGGTTTAAGAGAGTGACTGTGAACTGAACATCAAATTTCTGTTGAGCTGCATGAGGCCCACAGGCTGCAACTTGTCTTGTAGAAGAAACATATTCATTCTTGTCCTTGTACAGTATACTTCATTATTGGTTATTACCGTGACGCCACCCAAACAAATGAGGCATGTCATGGCAAAATGGTTAATAAGTTGTTGCACAGGCCAGTATTGAGTAAATGAGCTATAAAATATGGGAGCTCAAATAATTGCCGAAAAATCCAAATTTGTTTTTCATTGTAGATCAACAGTTTATTGTCTTATTAATCATGTACCAAAGTATTAGTTCTGGAAGTGGTCAACAAATTGTTTATTTAATGTTATTTTGATAGTTCATTCTATTAAACAATGTATGCACAAATAACTTTGAAAGACAATTACTCAAAATCATGTTTATCTTGATTCTAAGAGTACTGTATTTTCACTTTCCAATAACTTAGGCTTGATATGTCCAATTTCAATGAATGACCCCTCATTTTAAAGATCACATACTCAGGTATCTGAAAATACCAATAACTTGAATTTTAATTTTTGATATAACTTAGCATTTTGCCACAACATGTCTCAAATGGGATGAGATGTGGTTGGAGACGAACCCTATTAATTAGTTTTACCATATTATTAAATATGAGACAGCAAATCTGAAACAGAATTTAGCAATAATTACCTAATAGAACCATTCCGTGCAGAAGGTTCCACCAGTGTTATTTTAAAAGAATCATGGTTAACCTCTGGATTGGTTGGTTGTTCAGGTGTCTCTATTTTGCTTGGCCCTAAAGATAAAAGTAAACAAATTCAAAGATTACATTAACAAAATATTGAATTGGTGCAAATAATTGTTATTTTTTGTTATACTGTTATTATTTATCTGACATCGTATACGAAATATCCAAACCATAAACATGTAAAAATGCATGTAAATATATTTCATATAAAACATAAGACCTTAAATTATAAACACATGAGCTCTTGTTTATAAGACTGATTTCCAATTTGTTTTAGTTACTTAAAACACTATCAATCAATAGTAATTTGTTATTGTTTATCATAATTTTTTTTACCCATTGTGTCTCAGCATAAAGAGTCTATGCCCTATATTTATTTGGTGTAAACACCCTGAAGAAGACTTATTTTCAGTGGGGTCCTCTAGTGATAACTGGGTAGTACAACAGGAAACAATCCCTTACTCTTTCCAAAGAGTGTACTGCATTCTTTAACATGCACATTTTATGTGTCAAAACTTGACATGTGACCCCTTAGTAGGGGTACTCCTATTAAGGGGACACTTTTCTTTGGTCCTAAAGGTGTCCCCCCAATAGGGGTTCTAATGTATTTTAAATTTTGTCTATAGGAGCTGTGTACTAAATACTAGACCATTACTTAATTTATGACTCAACTCCTAAAAATTGAAAATTTACCTGCTACAGCTGTTGTGCATGTTGCTGCTTCTGATTCTGGTCCAGCTGCTATTGTTGTACCAAATACTTTTATTTTGTACACTGAATTAGGCTTATTGGCCTCAATATCTAACGTTACACCAGCACCAACCTGGTTTTTCATACGGTTAACCTCGATAGACCCTTCATTACCTACAGGGGCTACAGTATAATTAGCCTGTAATCAGACAAAAAAATCATTAATTTCTCTTAAGTTTCTGTGAAAATAAATATAAAATCAATAATATAATGTTAATAGTAATATTTAATAATGAACTGCTTTTGGGTTTTCTTTTTAATTTGCTTTCTTTTTCTCTTTTCCTCTTGGTTTACTTTTTCAGAGACACCTTTTATAGTGCACAAGAAGGACTCTGTATGCCTAACAATACTAATACCAACAAATGATAGAATAAATGCACACATAAACAATATCCGTTGTCATTTGACTATTGGGGGAGTTATTTCTAAGAGGCGCTCAGTGAACCTGTGTCAAACACGTGGTGCTCATGGAGATTATGAAGCGAAGGAGATATGATCAAGGGAGGTGTACTTTCTGAAGCAAACAAGGTGCTCAAGTACAATCTGAGACAAACAGGAGATAGCTAGGGAGGATGTACCTTCTGAAGTAAACTAGAGGTGCTCAAGTACCATTTGAGACTTACACGAGATGATCAATAGTGGAGGTACTTCAGAAGCAAATTAGACATACTCAAGTAGCATCTGAGACAAAGAGGAGGGAGGGGAAGATCAGGAGAGGAGGTATTACTGAAGCAAATTAGACGTACTCAAGTAGCATCTGAGACAAACAGGAGATAGTTAAGGAGGGGATGATCAGGAGCGAAGGTACTTCTGAAGCAAATTAGACATACTCAATTAGCATCTGAGACAAAGAGGAGGGAGGGGATGATCAGGAGCGAAGGTACTTCTGAAGCAAATTAGACATACTCAATTAGCATCTGAGACAAACAGGAAATAGTTAGGGAGGCATTTCTGAAGCAAATTAGAGGTAATCAAGTAGCATCTGAGACAAACAGAAGGCACTTAGGGAGGGGATGATCAAGGAATAGGAGGTTCTTGGTCAACATGGAAATAATGCTCTGGGGCATCTCAAGCAAACAAGGGAATGCTGATATATTTAGGTGCATGAGAAGTGTTAACACTTGCAAAGTACCTTTTAGATACATCAATATCTTAAATAGTGCCACATATATATAGCTGAACCCCTATTAAGAAGTTATCTTAGGGACTAAGAAAGTGTCCCCTTAATATGGGTGTCTTTGCAGGGGACAAAAACATGAAATTGTCAACTTAATAAGGGTTTTTGTGAGGGTTTTTGTCATGTTTTCTAGTAGAATTAGAACTAATTTATCGCAATAATTTGTAATGCAAATACAATTCATTTATAATATAAGATCGGCAGAAATGTAATGAAAACAATAGTTTTAAATGTTTCCACTATAAATTGATGATGCAATGTTAATGACCAATTCTTTTAATTCTTTTTTTTTTTTAAATATTGGGCTCTCTATTGGATGGATGAAGCATGAATAGAGTAACAACTTAACGACTTAAGGGTGCATGTTATGGTGTGGATTATAATTTATATGAAATAACAAATGCAGTAGGCTTAATGTTCCCTCTAATGATTCAGGGCATACAGTAACATTCTGGTTTATTGCTCAAATAGTGTCAAAATATAAAGTTGAATGATTTTTTTCTTATTGGTGATATGTTTCCGAGCGTATCACCTTTGTTTTCGTTTAGATTTTTCCACTTTATTTATTTTTTTTATTCTTTCCCACCTTTTTTGTTGGTCGATTTTCTCAAAAACGGCACATGTTTGATCTTTTTTGCTAACGTAGCATATAGATCTACATCTGAAGTTGTGCACCTGACTTTGTGGATGACGTCACATTTACGTGACGTCATCTACGCGCCATTTTGTGAAATTCTATCATTGAAAATATCTTCTTTACTAACAGGTATTTTTCAATGAAACTTGACACAAGTATACTTCACATCAAGTGTCAACTTCCTGCACCATTACCATCCGCGCATACACAGGAAAGTACGTGCGTATGCGTGCGTCAAAATTTTAAAATGCTCAAAAATCACTTTTTGACTAAATTAGAGCATGTTTTAGGTCATATTGAGCATTTCATGATTTTTCGAATTTTTCGTCCCGCGTGCGCATTTTTAAGCGCGCGCGTACAGAAGCTGGAATTATCGGTTTTTTTGCATGTTTTAGATTCCTGACACTGTATTCACAAATTTCCAATCTTTTTCGGTCATTTAGGGTCAATAGCAATGCTGTATGCGCGCAGAAAAGATACGAATCCATGTGCGCGTTTTTAGAGCGGAGATAGGCCAAAATCATGCCTATTTCAATCGGTTATAGCTCCTTAGGATGATCGGTGACCCCCAATTTTTACTATATATTCTGAAAGCACATAAGTTGTAGATATGATTTTATAGGTCATAATGGCTGATCGGACATTATGACGTCATCATATTGCCATCTGAATTCAACAAACTGAATATTATCGATGACGTCATTTAAAAAAAATGCGCATTTGAGCGTATCTTCCTTATCCTTGATCAATTTTCTCCAAACTTCGAGGAAGATTATAACTGAGACAATTCTCTTTCATAAATGTCACGACTTTTACATTTTGATGACGTCATCCTTTTTTACATAATTTTTTTATCTGACCATTCATCTTTCTTTTCTCAAATCATTGAAATCGCCTATATCATCATAAATAATTGACATTTCTAAATCATATTCAATTGGCATAAAACTTCAAGTCAAGTATGAATGTAATGCGCGCAAATTTCCGTGCGCGCACACGTGCGTCGAAAATTTAAGTGCTCAAAATCACACATATTTTCAATCAGTTATAGCTCCTTAAAATGATCGGTAACACCCATTTTTTATTACATATTCTGAAAGCACACGAGTTGTAGATATGATTTTATAGATCATAAAGGCTGATCGGAAATTGTGATGTCATCATTTTTCCATCTGAATTTAAAAACTTTTTCCTTTAATTTCCTCATTTATTAACATATTTATTTAAGCGTATCTTTCTTATTGTTAGTGAATCGTTTTTCATCTTCTGAGTAAGTTATAGCTGAGACAATTCTCTTTCGGAATGATGTCCTTCATTTTCATTTTGATGACGTCATCATGGTCAAAATGAATGATTTTTGGACCTCTTCATCTTCAATTACTGAGAAATAATACATTGGACAGACCAACAGAGGGTGGCAGACTGTATTTCCACGCTATCACACTGATTATATAGTTCATATGAAGGGAAAATTCGTATCGTTACGACGAACAAGTATCAAAATTGTGCGTAGATGACGTCACGCATGACTGGCAACCTTAAAAAGCTTGTTATGACTATTTCAGATGATGCCAAATGTTCGTTGAAGTTGGCATGTGCGTAGCTCGCGGCAATTTTGAGATCGTGTGAACAGAAATTGGGAGAAAGAAAGAAGAATAAGAAAAAGAAGACTAGATTTGAACTCGTCACTGAGGACGAGTTAGGTGATCCGCCCGACTTGACCAGAAGTGTATTGAAAATGACTTGAAACGTGCTTTAAATTACTACATCTAAAAGGTGATATTTAGAATGTTAAAAACTTTAACACACGTACGCGCACGGGAAGATGCGTGCGCAAACTATAATCAAATATCACCTTTTAAATACAGTAATTTAAAGCACGTTTCAGGTCATTTTTAGTACACTTCTGGGGTTGATGTCCGGCGAATCACCTAACTCGTTTTTAGTGACGAAAACATAATAATATTCTTCATAAATTGAAGACCCATGGCAGATGCAGGCTGGAATTGGGTCCTAACATACCATAAAATTGGTAAATGGGTATGACTCTAATGCCAACTTACGTCCACAAGATCAGGTATATTATCAATGAAAAAATTTGTTTAAATCGGTTTTCTTCAATATTCTTTTGATTACATGGTGGTTATTATGTGACACGCTACCAGCGGCAAAGATTTCTAATAGTTCAACCTTATTAACATTACTTAAACCCTCATTCTACATGTTCACTACATAACGAACCCCAACAAACGGCAGCAGGGTGGATACAACCCGAAAGACACAAGTGTACTACATATCAAGATTCAACTTTGTGTGCAATGCCGTCCGCACCCGTCATGGCGTACGCACATTTTCACGCGCACAGCACTTTTTGAAATTGAAAATTAGGTTTTTTTGCATATCATGATATCCTGACACTGATTTCATAGTTCCATTCTCTCTTAGCCATTTTAGTGCAAAAAAATGCCATACGTGCGCATCAAATATACAAATTTGTACACTTTTTAGTCGACATACTGACATTGTATTAACAAATTTCCATGTCTTGTTAAATGCCTTTCAAAATAACTATCGTCAGTCCCAGCGTATCACCGAATTCGTCTATGACGAATTCCGAATCTAGTTTTGAGACTGCTGTTGCTGTTGAGATACAATGGAAAAAAAATTATCCCCCTTAATAGGAGTTACTTGACCATTTTGCACACTCAGAAGGTTGGCTGTAGTGTTAAAAGCGTATATTTCCCCTCATTTCATGGAAGAGTGTCTCCTTAATAGGGGTGTCCCCTGAATAGGCTGTCCCAAAGGAGGGGTTCTACTGTTTTACTTACAGTGTAGCTTGTAATCACTCCATTCAGTTCTGCTGGTGCAGTCCAGGTTACTCGGCATAAATCATTCTCAATCTTATCCTCATTCACATACGTTGCCTGTACATTTCCTGGGGCTGTAGGAGCTGGAGGAGTAAGGAATAAATCAACAAAATTACTTTTTTAAAAGATAGCGGAACAGATGCTATATAACCGTTGATTTTGTTAATATGCACCAATACATGTTACAGTTCTTGATCTGCCTAATTAATTAAATGGGCCTACTATACTTTAATTTACTCTGAATAGGCCAGCATTATTGTTCTAGCCTAGAATCTCCACCCTAGCACTAGAAACTAACACACACAATTTTCATTTGAATTAAAAACATATATGCTCTGATATTTTTGTTATAGTAAATAAGCATATAAGAGAACTTTCTATTAACAAGCCTGGATTTCTAAGTTCTATGCCACTTATATGAACCTTATGAGAAGTGTTCAAATGTATCATACCCTTCCCACAAATATTGTATGTTCAAGAATTTCCTTTTTTTTGCAATGATGTTAGAATTACTTGAAATGTTTGTTATTTTAATACTTCAATTCATTAATTCATTCACTTATTGTAACAAAATATCAGAGAATATGCTTTTAATCAATTAATTTTATTTTATGTTTTGTCACATTTGTTAGTGTCTTGAGCAATTAATAATAATAATAAATAAATAATTGCAATACTGCAGTGGATATGTGCGATTTATAAATCTTGTTATTATTAAGCGATTATGTCAGCGATGACAAATTATGATGTTATGAATGAATTAATGAATTGAAGTATTAAAGTTACAAATGAAAATAAGTTGATAATATTAATAGTAACACAGTAATTGTATTACAAACTTATATTTCTGATAACTCATTATTGTACATGAATGTTGATATGAATTATTTTTTCCACAATATATTACTGTGCAATTTTTTTAAATATTAGTTTTATAATTATTATTATTATTAAATGATTATGTCAGCAAATGAAAAATTATGATGTGACAATAAGTGAATGAATTAATGAATTGAAGTAGTTAAGTTACAAACTTTTATTTCTGATAACTCATTATTGCACATGAATGTTAATATGAATTATTTTTTCTACAATGTATTGTTGTGCAATTTTTTTAAATATTAGTTCAGAAGTTAATATTCTGAAAGGGTAATTAAAGGTAAATTTTAGGTAGAGTGTCATCAGAAATGCAAGATGACACAAGGGCTGATAATCTTCAACATGACTCACTATGGGCTTTCCTATTTGTATGTATATTCGTACTTGTGTATCATCACTTGGAGTTGTTTGCATGAATTACAGTGAATTAAGCCTGGGTTTGACTACTTTCTTCTATCATTTTTTAGTCTCTGAGAGGGTTTCGAGAGACATAGTGTAAATTATGCAGAAAATACATAGGCCTAAATATAACCATTAAACAGTTAGTTGAAAAGATGGATAAAGAAAAAAAACGACAGGCAGAAATGGTTAACAGTAACAGAATAAAACGCAAATAAATGAAAGATAATGAATCGTGCTATGGAAATGTGAAAATTTTAAAAACAAAGAAAATCAAACTAATTATAATTCTAGGTTTCTCTTAAGATTCTTAAAAAAATATATATAACATAGCAGAACTAAAAACAAAACATATAAATTTATTTGAAACATACGAATTCCTGATCTGGTGTTAGTAATTTTTTTTTTTAAAAAGCAGATGTGATGCGGAAAATAACAACTGGCTTAGCTTGATTTGCTTTCCATGATGTTTACTTGGGATAACACGTCCAAATGTTTAATATCATGAAATCAGGCAACCATGCAAGAAGTTAATGGGGTGAAATATGCAAGGCAAAAGCTAGTCAACTACAAATTTGCAAAAAGGATTAATATGTTAAGTATACACAAACACTTGTTATTTTTTCCAGTTTTTCCAGCACTTTCTGGAAAAACTTTGTTTAATTTATCTCATGCATCTTTTTACTTATCCTCTATCTATGTACAATCCTGCTCAGTGCACCTCCCCCCGCCCCCCACAGTTAAAAAAAAAATTAAAATGCATTATGTACTATTGTACAAGGTTCATGATCCTAGAAATTTGTAATTAAAAACAGTTTTTGGGATAGGGGGTAACATCTATGCTCATAGCTCTTGATTTATTCAATGGATTTGTATGATGTTGGCATCAACATTTAGCCTATAGATTGGTCTGCCATTCAAAATGAAAAAGTTTTTGAAGTTTTGTGAGTGAATTGGGAATAAATTTACAACTTTTCTGTGGAGGTCAATGACCTTTTGACCTCTACTTACGTCAATTTCTGCCTGTTTCAAAACTTCAATATTGATAAGCTTTTTAATTCACAGGTTATGGGCATTAATGTTACCCCACCCTCACAAAAAAAGTATTGACCATAAAACACTAACGACCATTATAATGCATCTCTATATTTTTCTTGTTAACATGAATATTTTTGTTTTATAATATGCCCGTAGGAACAAAATGATACCAAGGAAGTTTAACTGTGGGGGAGGGGGAGATGCACGGTGTCTTGGCCGAAGCCACTTGCACAGCTAGAAATTTGACCCCTCAACCACAAGGTTAAGGGTGCAAGCCTCAGCCGCTGCACCAAACGCTTCCGCACCAAACGCTTCCACATCCTCTATATACACAATCCTAATACTTATCCTCTATCTGCACAATCCTACTCAAACTCTATATTCACTCACACATATCAATAATTTTTTACCCTACTACTCAGCCTCAATTGTCTTAATCCTGATTGTGTTTGTAGCACCTTCTTAATACTCTCATACTCCATTTTCACTATCTTTACTCTATTTTCACTATCTTCTTCCATTCTCACAATCCTACTTACCCTATAGTTTATGTATTTTCTTACTCATCCTCATATTTAATAACACACCCATACTCAGAAAATACATTAACAATAAATACATCCCACTGACGGTTGAAGAAATACTTCTTACTTTATGTTTTCACTCTATTATTACGCATCCTTTATTTTCCACAAACCTTACACTCACACTCTTCCTCTTCTTACCTCCTTCCTCTATTCTCACTATCAGTATTCATCCTATTCTCTATCTTTTTTTACTCATCCTCATTTTTCTTAGCCTTCTACTCAACTTCTATTTACAGAATCCTTTTAAATGCATTTTTTCACTGTGTTATACAACTTTTAAGATCAGTGTAATGTTTCACCCTCTCCAACCACATCCATCTTGATTCAGTTAACATGCACTTTTATTAGATGAGCAGTGTAGGTTAATATGTTAATAATGATATTATGACATAATATTGTCATCATATGTATCATATGATACTTGTTTGTGACTAAAAAACAAAAGCTGCAAACTATTTTGTGAACATTAACAGTGTAAGAGTACTACAAAATGTTAACATATTATCTATGCATATAGGTTGCAGTGTCTAGTAGACCAAAACCAGAAGTTACGTTCCCGGCATACAATCTTCTGTCATTAATTCATTGCACTTTACAGTGAAATATGGGGCCTAGCACTTATATTTTTATTAACACAATCCTGATAAACCTCATCATAATCATTGACATTATAATAATTTATTTCACTAAAGGCATTGGCATTGAATTGCTTTTAGTTTCTTTGAACAGCTGTGACAGTTTTATTAAAGCTATAAATGTATACTTACCGGCTTCAGCAGTTTTTAAAATAACTTTGTCCTTGTCACTTCTTCCAATGTTATTACTACAGAATACCTCTATATCATAATCAGTGTAAGGCGTGAGGCCCACTAGTTTGTGAGATTCATCACTTTCAGCTTCTACAGAATCGAACATATCTTCACCTTGTTCCTTGTAGTCAACAGTGCAATTTTGAATTTTACTTTTTCTTTCACTTCCTCGAGTCCACTTAACAGTTATTTCTGTGGCCTTTGCAGTGGCTTGGGATTCTTTATCATTGATTATTACAGGGTCTGGTTTTTCTGGAGAAAAAAAAATATCAGGCAATTTAAAATAACAAATTTTAGTTGTTTGTTTTATGGTTAAAAAATACAAATACTGTACAGCCAAAATTTGACAGAAAAATGTAATCAAAAATAAAATACCAGAAAAAAGAAAATGTCACGAGGAATTTAAGACCTAGCACGTGAATTCTTAGAAATGTGGAAAGAAAAATTAAAAGAAAAAATGTTGACTGCTGCATTAAACCAGTGTCATTCTATTTGGAAGAGCCCCCAACTAAGCTATACCACTATAATCTGGCAATGGTAGTTTCAGTTAAGTATGTATAGTATTTTAGTCAATTTTTTACTAATAACTTTGCTCTTAATTCAGCTCTTGCTGAAATGAGTGATTTTATGTATACATATATTTTTTGATGTAAATAAAATAAACCTGAATTATAAATATTAACCTGAGAACACTACATAATAAAGACCAAAATTTTATAGAGCTTCTAAATTGAAGGAGTATACAGAATAGAGCTGCGTGCCATCTAAAAATTGAATGCACTTACTTACCTTGGACGATTATTTCGAAGTCGTCAACAAGTGCATCAACCTCATTAACTAGAGTGTTGCCTACTCGACACTTGTATATACCATTGTCACTTCTTGAAATATTATATACAACTAGTATACTGTTTGTTGTAATGATCATGTTTTCTTCAGTTTTACTTTCAAAAACAGCATACTTTTTCTCCATTGGTTCAATGGAGGTTCCGTTATTGTAGATCCAGGTGATCTTAACTTCAGGTTTCCCTTTTGCTGAGCAGGTAAATGTTAGGTTATCTTGTAGTATACCGCTTTTGTTTTCAGGTCTTGTGTCAAATTCAGCAGGTACTGGTAGAAAAAAAGAAAATGTATATGCATTAGTATTACTTTATATTTTTATATCATATTATTATTTAATTTTTTTTATTTTATATTTTACATGCATATAAAAAAATACAGAAATAGCAAGCTAGATAATAAAGGTATATGACCTAGAATTAAAAAAAACCCCCCTAAATTAGCCTTTGCTAGGATTCAAACCCAGGGATTTGTTAATATATCACAAACACCATAATAACTAGACCATAAATATTGTCATAGAAAATAAAATACCAGCAGTAATTGAAAGTTATTTCATATTTTTTATGTGCTGATTGATACAGCACTGTTTGAGTTAGCACTCAAACACTTCTATAAGAGAGAGGTTTTGATTTAGAATTTAATGATGCCACATTTCTTGTCTGTGGATGCAATGACTGACATTAAATTCTTGTTAACTGTTAAATATAGGATGCGTTTTGGTTGGAATCTAAGTTAGCAGAGAATGAATTACGGCCCCAGATGACTGATTATATTAATGTCCTGTCCAGACTATCAAATTTTATTTGACAAATACATGTGACATGCCTAAATATGGTCATGATGACATCACATCACATGACCATATATAGGCACATCATGACTATATATGGGCATACAACAGTTCTTTGACAAAAAACAATTTGATAATCTGGACAAAGCTTAATAAATGTTTACAGTCAGTTTTTACTGTATGATGATAAAAACTGTCAAAATGGTTTATGTACACAATCTGTGTCAACAACAACAACAGTTTAATAACTTCAACCCTATGTATTAAGAATATTTAGAGCAAAATTAAAGCTAAAATACATAGGCCTAATGTTTATAAAAAAAAAAAGAAAAGAAAGAAAAGAAATACACTTTATATATGGAATTATCTATATTTTTAATTATTTCATTTACTTATTTAATTTGAAGAAATATGAATTAGTTAAATTGAAAAAAAAAATTATAAGTAGAAAAGAAAGTATGCATATATTATTATTGTTTAGTTCAATTTTTTTTTAGTCCTGTTTTATTTACTTCCTTTTTACTTCTTTACTGGGTCCTAGTGAATAGGACCCATGATAATAATGTTTTTTCATTTCTTGTGATTTTTGTTATTTTGTTTAATTTTATGTATTGTTATTATTATATTAGTTTGTCATTATTATTGAAATGAATGTTATCTGAATGTCAAAGCTTTGGTATATGAAATGGATAAAAAGTTTATTCATAATACTGCAGTTTCAGTTAGAGCAGCTAATATATTTAAAACAGTTGTCTGAAAACCTGTTATATATGTTTACCCTATATTCTGATTAATATGTAAATATGATTCATGTGTTATATATCTGACATTATCTAAATCTATAGAAGGTTTATTCACCCCCTTAATACTATGGTTTCAGTAGTAATGCAGTTAACACAATTATATCAGGTATCTGACAACTTGTCGTATTAATTGTCATATTAATTTATTACTGGTCAGCGATGAAGGCATATCCCCATACTGCATTTTGGGTGCTTGGAGTTCTCCCTTCCTTATTTTTCCTAATACTCTTATTTTGCACAGCATTTAACCTTTTAATAATAAACACGCAATTAAAGAAGTTTTCTGAAAACCTGTCATCTTTTGTTGGCTCACACTTACACAATTCATCCTTTAATGCATGTTTCATTTAGTAATGAAAATAATTACTGGAGTGCGCCCTCTGTAAAGAGGTTGCACATAGTCACGTCAAGAGCATACTTGAATTGCAAAGTTTAGCTGAGAATAGGTTCAATTTCGTTGATTGTTTTGTTGATTTGAGAGACCAGAATGTAAGTAATTATATGATGTTAATGTTAATAATATAGAGAATAATATTATGGATTATTGGAATAGGCCCTACATAATTTACCGGTAGTTGGAATTTACAATTTGTATGAGAAGAATTAGGCCAAGCGTAAAACATGAGATGTGGAGACAATACGCCGGTAGGCAGGTTATAGGCCTGTGTGTAGTAAATGGCAGTATATTAATTGACGTGATAACTGTCAGAGATGATTTATTCTTATTGTTACCGTTTGAGAAGTTGTAGTTAATATCCAAGTACTGTTGAAAATATTAGATATGATATGAATGACTCCAGAGAGATGTATGAATGGTTGTCCTTATTATAGAAAATGTTCGGATTTGTACTTTAACGTAATACTTAGTTACGATCTATTGCGAGTGTAAAATGGCTAGCAGAGGCTCTGTTGGGAACGGGTACTTGTTGCTAGGCCGTATTGTAATGAAGGTACTTAAGATTATGAGTGAGCCCTCTATTGTATGATACATAGAGTAAGGACACATGAGCCTTAAGACAGTAGATAACAAGATACCAATAAATGAAAATACAATAAAGTCAGAATAGCCTACAACATATCATTACAGTCATGCTTGACTGAACATGTCAATTAATTTGAGTAGGCGTTAACCTTATAGTATTTCCCGATTGATGCGAGTTAACATTGTCTTTCTTATTATTTGTTTGCAGTTTTCAAACGTCGTTTGAAATAAACGTCATTATTATTATAAATCAACAAAGAGTGAGTCTGAGTATTTGAGTATAAACGAAACAATGCATGATTGATATTATATGGCCATAGGGCAAGATGTTTTTCAGAGTGTAATTATACCTTCATGTGAAACCAGTTTGGTTCTAAACAGATAACTTTTCTACTATTATTTATCTTCATTGACACTGCTCTATTTATTATTGTTGTATTATATTTACTAAGTGTATTATTAATTTATTTCACTCAATATTAATACTTTGTGTAAGGTTTTGAAGTCTAGAGCATTTTGCTTTAGTAAATGCACTACTTGACATCTGTAACTGCATTGCATTTTTTGTATTGTGTACTGGAAATTTGCTATTATTATAATGGTGGCACAAAATGTGCACATCAATATGTTCAGTCTCACTGACAGGTGTTTGTGAGTTTATAAACAAGTCATGTGACAATCCCATTAATTGTAATAGCAAAGCTACTAGAAATACAAGATAGAGCACTCGCATAAAAATGAGGTGGAAATTGGTCCAGATGTATGCGGCGCCCTTCTCTTTTTATAATGCAAGATTTCTATACTTGGTCCACAGACGTACAGGGCGCCCTTCCGCTGCTAAGTATATCCAGACGCACACGGCGCCCTTCTTTTTCCATTAATGGAGGAAAACGTTATCACTAATCAGAGTCCAATCATATGATCCTGCGCTTTGGTGTCTGTCATATTACTATTTTGATTTATTTATGCCTACTTGTTGTATCTTATGGATAATGGTAACGATTTCTAAGAAGGTTATGTATTCACAGTAGTGTAATGCTGGCATAAGTTTTTTAGATCCAGTTGTATGCAGCGCCCCATTGTTTGTATTCTCACCATGCAGTTTTTTTTCTGTGGAGAACTCTATCTTGTGTTTTTAGTATCTTTGGTAATAGTCAGCTTGTCAACCTAATTGTTTACTTACCTTCAACATTAACAGTAACTGACTTGAAAACAGGACCTATCCTGTCAGTATACTTTAATGGATTAACTGTACAGGTGTATGTACTACCAGTGACATTAAAATCCACATTACGTATGGTGTAAGTTGCCGTTCCAGTGTTGTCTCCTTCAAAATCCATTACTTTTGTTCCATTCCTGCTCCAATTCCCATCAATATTCAGTAAATTGTAATTGCATTCAAGCTCAACATCTTTTCCTCTATATTGTGTTACTACATCATCAAGTACAGACAAACCTCTAGCAGTGATATTAACAGCTAAATCCACTTGAATAAAGAAAAATCAATGTTTGTAAAAAGTTTCTAAGATTTGTTCCATGTATTTGGCTGGGCCTCCTCTAGACATGAAATATTCTTTGCAGTGTAAACAGCAGTTTTGTTTCAGCTATTTGCACACAAAGCCACAACAGGTACAGTATCAGGACACTACATCAAAGTGATCCCCAGCTCGGGGATACGAAAATGATGTGGAAATGAAAATGATGACATCACGATTGATTATAAGATACAATAGAGATGCTGTTCATTGCTGTGTGAAAATTGTGGTGTACATGAGATGTAAGGGGTGAGGAGAGAAGTGCAAATTCATGATGCAATACTTACTGTAATTACACACAAACCCAAAATCTTTATCATCACAATCTTGACAATCTCCAGACGTTGTTACACATTCTTTATTGTCAACACATGTGCAATTCACACAAGTTGGCCCAAAGGTACCTGGGTCACAATCTGAAATAACAAATAATTATTTTTATTATTTCTTTTAACTTGAGAATCTGTATTCGTATCATAATTGTATAGTAAGAAAAAAAAATGATTGGTTGTAGACTTGTGATAATGTACACAAAGAGAGAAAAGAGACAACTTAAAATGGCAACCAAAGGAAATAGGAAAGGACAGACCAGCAAGTGTTAAACGGAAAAAGGAGGATAAATAAAAACTTAAGTACATAATTATACAAATAAAACATTATTTGTGTCTACTGTGACTCTTGTTTAAATAAATTTGATTATGTTACAAATGTTTAAATAATTTGATATTAGAAATGTTTTAAAATAGTTTTACTTCTATTCTGTAAGTGGCAAATTCTTGCAGTCTGATAAGAATTTTAGTAAATAAATAGATTGATATATGCTGATGACAGCCATGAAAATGATAGTAAAAAATTGTTTTAAATTGTGTTCTTTAGTTCACATTCCATTCTGATAATTTTACTAAGTTAGGCACATGCATGATTGAAAACAAGCGATAATACCTAGTTACCTATGCAATATTTTTGTAAAACTATTTTTAAATCCTGTTATCAAGTGAGTAAAATACAGTATAGTGTTTTATGCTAAAAACATGATGCCCAAAAGATTATTGATAAAAATTACACAATTCAATGGTGATGTTTCTAGTCTATATAACTGTGAAATCTGGATAATTCAACTTGCTTGGGAGCATTTCGCACTTATCGGTTTATCCAGGTTTACAAAAAAGAATTTCTAAATTCTATATTAAATCCATTCAAAAGTAGTTGTCTAATGACCTATTACCATAATCATTGACTTGTTTACAATTAATTCATACTATACTGTATGTCTGTATAAAAATTAAAATTAGCTCTCTATTCTGTGACTTACTAACATACAGCAAAATAAGTACGAACATGCTCACAATTAAATTGTGCTATATGCTTGACTTCAATGATAGATAGGTCATAACACAGCTACTCTAACATTAGTTGTTGCCCTGCTTCACTAAAACAAATGTGTCAAAAAACAAACACATGAGGTTTTTTTTTTATCTTTTCTATATTTTGCTTAGTTAGAAAGTAAAACCCAAAATATTTCTTTTTTTTTTTTTGTTAATTTTGATTGTGAATAAATAATGTCATGCAAAAATTTCCACCAACAAAATAAAATATGAAAAATATGTCATGGAAATGCTGGAATTATTTGAAAGTAAAAATGTACAAACAAAATTGATAGATTTGAATTCTAAATGACTGCTAACTTATAATGAAAACACCCAACCAATAAAAAATCATCAAGGTAAAGAAGCCTGTTAGGAGATCATTGAACATTTTACTCATTATTAGCTATGGAATTTTTAATACCTTGAAGCTCTGAGGAGTAAAAAAAAAAAGAAACATTATTTATAAATTAATATTGTCCCCTCAAACATTTTAAAAATATGATATTGTGGATGTCAGCTGTACTGGCTTAATGTGTAATATTTCTCATTCATTTGCATAATTTATGAATGCAAACTGATATCTATTTACTCTCCTATATATGGAGAATTTTTTTGCTGTTTGTATGGTATTAAATCAAAATGCTGCATATAAGTCAACACTTACTTATTAGAAATTATTTCAGTACTTGCATAAAGGTTATAAACAATCAATACAACTTTGATTTAAATACAATAATACAAAAATAATATTTACCTAATAATATGACATTGAAGGTACAATTTCCAGTGTTGTTAGAAGTATCAGATGCAACACAGGTTACTAGAGTGGATCCTGGCATAAAATTTGTTCCACTAGCTGGAGAACAAAATGGAACAGACACACCATCAACATTGTCTGTAGCCTCTGGTATGGTATAATTTACTTGTGCTTCACCTTTGGTCAACAACAGGCTAAATGTTTGGTCTTCACAATCAAATTTTGGTGATTCTTGATCTGTCAAGAAAAAAATATATATATAAACAAAGCAATATCAGAGTAATGAGGATGTAACATTCATAATGACATTAAATTAATAAGAAAAATGAAATGGTTAGAAATTATACTTTTGGTGATCTGCATCTCGAGCAGATTACCTCTTGTTATTGTCAGAGATCTGGTTTTTTTTTTATTCTACCTTTCTCTCCATTTTTTGTTAGCACGATATCTCCAAATTGCCACAAGCTATTAACATAACGCTTCTACAATCATTTGGCTTGGCCTGGAATAGTCACAATAAAGTTTTCAATGTGATCAGTCATGCGTGATGTTCTCTACACGCAATTTTGCATTTTTACATTATCAATTATATTATCCTTAAACCAATTGTCATTTCTAAATAATATTCAGTTTGAATAAACTTCAGGTCAAGGTTGAATGTCATGTATCTTAATTTTCCGTGCATGCACACATACGCATGCATCAAATTTTGAAAATGCTCACTTTTTCACTAAATTAGAGCACGTTTCAGGCCATTTTGAGCATTAATAATAATAATAATAATAATAGTGTAGTTTTATATAGCACATATATCCATCTAATTTAAGATGCTCAGGGTGCTTGATATGTGAACTCGATCAATGACTTTCTTCGCCCCTAATTAGGTAGCACAAAGATTTTTCAGTTATAGACATAGCCTACATTGCGCACGGCTACGGCAACTTACATAATGTTTCTAGGCTATGCAGATGCATCTTCATCTCTCACCCAAGGCTAGTGTAAATTCTACTCTAGGTCCTCCGAATCGAGAGGAAGGCCTAGACCTATGGTATTTTGTTGAATAAAATTAAACTTGTGACGTTAGCAACAAACCTTCTTTACGATATTTCATGAATTGATTATAAACAGAGAGTAACGAACACCAACAATATGTCAGGGAACCAAATCTCAAGTATTGTATTTGCAGAGCCATGTGCATGCGTTGTGGGCAACTCAGAACTGTCCATTTTCCAGCCGGGTATTGTTTTTAACACGAAATGTGTTGTAAGTGAGCTTTTCAACGGGTAGGCAATGGTTAAGCCTTAAGCCGGTTTTCCACTAGGCGAATTTATTCCCGCGAATTAGAGCATCGCTTCACTTCCTGAGCTCTGATTGGTTGCACATTTTTTTGCTTCACAAACACTCCGATAGAAATGTGAAGCTGGTTTTCCACTAGACGAATTTATTTGCGCGAATCAAAGGGTCAGTTCGCTCCCTGAGCTCTGAATGGTTGCGCATTTTTTCACTTCGCAAAAACCCGATAGAAATGTGAATGCGCATGCGTGTATAAACCAACGCTTGCGATTCGCGCGAACAAATTTGCCTAGTGGAATACCAGCTTTACATTTTTAGGAATCCCCACCGAATATTGGTATGAAAACAACGTACATTCAATCAATAAATGTTGTTTTATCTAACGTAAATATGATTTAGTTTATTTAAATGTAACACTCGATAGATTTGAAGAATATAAAGAATTTGCTAAAAGTAGACCAGGCCCAATTAGACTAGGCCGAGCTGATTAGGTCAAGCAGTCCAAGCCGTCACTGTAAAAGTGGCCGTCAAAAATAATTGTTGGCTGTCCAAAATCCGGCCGGACGGCTCACTAGCTAAGCCTATGATGTGCACGTACGAGTGCGTCAAAATTTTAAAATGCTCAAAATCATGCCTATTTTTATTCAGTTATAGCTCCTTAAGATGAACGGTAACCCCCAATTTTTATTACATATTCTGAAAGAGTTGTAGATATGATTTTATAGATCATTATGGCTAATCGGACATTGTGACGTCATCATACTGCCATTGAATTCTAAGGAACTGAATTTTTATATATGTCGTCATTATTTTTATACTCATTTGTACGTATCTTGCTTATTCTTCATCGATCGTCTCCCACTTTTTTTAGTATTCTGAGACAATTTCCTTTCACAATGTGTAATTCATTTTTCACTTTGATGACGCCATCGTAGTCAAAATGAATGTTTTTCTTATCTTTGACTCCCTGAGAGAGGGAGGCATACTTGATATTGTCCTGCGCTGCTTGAAAATCCTGGCTACGGTATTTTTCCATAATTTATACTTTTAAACGCAGAGAGATTCCTTTTGCCTAATAAACGGACCAACTCATCCTCAGTGACAAGTTGAAATCTAATGTTATTGTTACTACTATAATTAAATAATTTTCATTTTTAAATTATTATAAAATCTTAATATAATATATTCATTATTATTTTCATTATTATCTCTATTAGTTATAACAGCATGTAGAATAGTACTTGGCTTAGAATTTTGTTTTGCAAAATAATAAATAACTTATCTAATAAAAACAATCAGCTTTGAAAGCCAAAAAGCCTATACAGTACTTATAGATGTTGGCCTTTGGATAAAGAGTTTAATTCTGAAGCCATATATCTTCTATCTTGTCTATCCAACTTGGGAGCTGAAGTCTGGTATGTTCCAGTGCTAATTACTAACTGAAGCAGAGAATGTAGTGAGGATATCAGGGGTTCCAAGTTGGAAGAAGTCATTTTAGGGAGATTTTATGTGAAATATTCCAGGAAAACTGACAAGGTAATTTTTGATAATTGATTTCTTGTGCTGCTTAATTTTCTTTAATAAATTAAAATAGAAATTAACATGTTTTCACTTTGTTCTTTGTGATCTGTTTGTTCTCTTCCTGTTGTTTTGACACTGCGCCTTGAGCAACTATTTTTGGTGGTGATGTTTGCGCTTTAAAAATCGTTATTATTATTATATTATTATTATTATGATTTGCAGTGGCAGATCCAAGAAATCAAAATAGAGGGGGGGGGGGGGGGGGGGGAGGGGGGGAGGAGGGAACAGGGAAAGACTTTCACAGATGGAAGGTCTAGACTACCTCAAGTCCTCAGCCCTACCATTGTCAGGGCTGAGGCTAGAAAATTTATGATTATGGCACCGATAGATGGCCAGAAATTGGAATGTGATTTTCTTTTTTTTCTCCATTTTTGTTTTATAATTTTGAAAAAAATTAGGTTGGTTGGGGGAGGGGACTTTCTCCCCTTGAATCAACCACCGATCTGGTTAAATAGAGAGGACCTAAGCGAAGCGTACTCAATAAAGCCAACATTTAAGATTGATTTAAAATAAATAAGATTAAAAAGAAGTATGCTATAAACAATGAAACAATAACATACACTTAAACTAACCAACAAATAAATATAAAACGATAATGTCAACATTTGAAATGATATAAATAAAATATAAATAGTAATATAAATGCAAAGAAAAAATAAATAGTCAGAGTCAAAACAAATTAACAAGAAAATGAAGTACTGGTACTTAGCAAAAACAAACACTGTAACTGACAATAAAAAATGACCTATATTTTTTTCTACATCTACTAATTACCAATGCTGATGATATACCTTTAGTTCTCAAATTGGCTCCATTACATAGTAATATTTTTCCTACAATAGGTTTTACAAATTGATTGTCAGATTTGTACTTATTGATTATAGCCAAGCCAATAAATTACAATAACCGAAAATTATGTTATTTACAAAGAAACTAAAATATCAACAATTCACCTGATACAGTCAATATAAAACTGCAGTTCCCCTCATTATTTTTGGTGTCCATAGCAGTGCAAGTAACTGTTGTGTCGCCAAGACCAAATTTGTTCTCAGGACCATAATCTGGTTGGCCCATGCAAACAGTGTGCACAGCACCATCCACATTATCATTTGCAGTCACTGAAACATTATAGGTTGCAACATTTTCACCTAGATTTGTTGCCACTTCTGTGTTATTTGGACACTTTAGTTGTGGAGGTTCCTTGTCTAAAGTTTAAACAACAGAAAATTAATAGGGTTCAAATAATGTGGTCAGGATAACATATGGCCAGTAAATGAGTAAAATAAATAAATAAAAATAAAAGTATTACTTAAAATAAATAACATAATAAGCAATTAGTATAGTTGCAAATCATACACTAGATAGAAATTGTTATACAATGGTAGATTATTGCATTAACAAATTTCCTGAGGTTCACAGGAATTTTTTTGAATGCATTAATCTATAGGTACCCACATCTTATTTACATTGAATGCCTTACCTCAAATATACTTTTTGTCAATTATGAATGTGGGCCTCATCAAGATCTGTGATCACACAAACTACTGTACGCATTTTTATCTATTACTGAATTTTATACATCATCACAGATTTAAGGTCAATAATAAAATATAGGGTTCTGCATTCTATGATTGTATTCATACAGAAGAAAGCCTCATTCATGCATATTTTTTGGCAGCAAGGGGCTGAAATTTAAAATACAATCAAAAATACATAGTAAAAAGGTACACAAAATGTATGAAATAGAGTATTCCAAACTGATATTCCAAACATTATTATTAAACTTTCATTGTTATCGATGTGTGCTTGTTATCTATTACAATGTACCATGTAATGTACCATAGATAGAGGGCAGTGTTTCGTGGGTTTTTGTGAGTAAAATTGCGAGTAATTTTTAACGTTAGTTGATAATTATTGTGATAATTCTATCCTATGGAGCGTTTATTAAGTTTTGTCTCAACTTTGGATTGAAAATTTAGTGTCTGGGATAAGTGGAAGAAGTGTTTTGTGTCTGTTTTTGTTAGCCCCATTATGGCTGAAATCAACGAAGGAGTCGGCTATGGGGAGCAGAAGTGGCAGTTCTGTGGCAACAAATACCGATACTCTGGCTATCCTCACTTTAATTGAAGGCCTACAAAAGTTAATGAATAGTCAGATCCGGGGAGTAAATACACAAATTGACGAAGTAAAGGGAGAACTGTCAGGGATGAAGCAGGAAATTGAAGGTAATAATCTGTTCACAGTAGAGAAGGTTAAATCTGAACAATTCAGGTTAGAATCAGATGTAAATAATTTGAAAGAGGATTTGAAGGAGCTGAAACTTTGAGAAAGCAAACAAGATAATGTTATTCTCTGTGACATCCCTGAAACAGATTCTATTAAACCAGAAGAAAGAATTGAGCATGATACAGATAAATTTAGTAAGTTTATTAGTATTACTTTAGGCCTTCCACTTTGTGATATTGTCTTCATTCACTGTTGTAGTCAAAAGGATAAGGATGCTGTGAGACCAACTCCAAGACCAATTAGAATCAGGCTTGCAAAAGACAACGTTCGCATAAGCCTCAATACAGCTAAAAAACTAAAAATATTTAATATAAAAAAAGATACAACTCTGAAAGAGAGGGATGAAGCAAGGATGTTTTGGCTTGAAAATATAAAAGCCAAAGAAGTTTGCCATCAGTAAGATAAAGTAGAAATTAAAAGAGAAGAAGGAATGATTCTAATTTTGTTTTATATTATTTCTTTCAGAAGAGACTTTAGTTGATTCTTTTACAGAAGAAGTTTTTCTGATAATTTTTCAATCTCTAATCCAGTTGACTTGCACCGGTAATTAATTTATTTTTTTATACAAACTGTGATGTTATTACTACGAAAATTAATGAACTAAGGGCTAGAATCACTTTGTTGCGGCCACATATTATTGCTGTAAATGAAATATATCCTAAAAATTGTCTTTACCTGGTTAAAGATGTGGAATTAAAGATCGATAGTTATCAAGTATTTTTTCCAAATCGTAGGGGTCCATGTGGAGTTGTCATTTACGTTAACCTACTTACTCCTCTTTGTGCACTGGTACAAATATCCTCCAACTGGGACGGTCTTTTGCCAGCCAGTTTAGCTCCTTCCGTGTCTATTTTACTCTACCTCATGTTCCACCATACTCCTTCATGTTGATTTCGGTCTTCCTCTGCTTCTTTTTCCATCAGGTTGCCATTTTAAAACCAGTTTTGCATGTCCCTTTTTTTCCAGTCTGAGAATGTGGCCTATCCAGTTCCACATTTATGTTTGACCTTGAGGGTAATGTTATTGATGCTCAGCTTGTTCCATAGTTCTCTGTTTGATATGACTTCAGGCCAAAATATGTGAGCGATTCTTCTCAGTAATTTTCCTTTTTGCATTAAGTTAAAGGATTCTGCACCATACAGAGGAACAGTACGTATATTAGTCTTGTAGATTTTCATTTTTGTGTTGAGTGTGATTTTTTTCTTCTTCCATACATTCTTTAACATGTTAAAGGCTGTGCTAACTTTTCCAATTCTGATTTGTATTTCTCTTTCAATACTGCCATTTTGTGCCATATTGCTTCCAAGCCAACAAAAATCCCGAACTTCATCAATTCTGTCATTTCCAGTTATAATTTGATCATCTTTTTTTGCATTTATCTTCCAAGATTTTTGTTTTCTTTTTGTCTATTTCTAGATTTCTTAGTGTTCTTTCTAATTCCTTTTTCATCCTTTCCAAGATAACACAGCTAAAGATCTTTCCAGGTATTGAGAGCATGGTAATACCTCTCCGGTTTGAGCACTCAGAAAGGTCTCCTTTTTTGGGTAGCTTAATGATGACACCAGATTTCCATGTGTCTGGAATGTGTTCCTCCTTCCAAACATTGTTGAATGTATTGAGTAATATATTGGCTGATGTGTCAACATCTGCTTTTAGCATTTAAAGTGTAACGTTATTGAAACCAGGGTCTTTGTTGCTTCTCATCTTCTTCATAGCTTTGATGATCTCCAATTTTGTGATTTTTCCAGTGTTCATTTTAAATGCATTATGTTGAGTTCTGGTAAAATATTTGGCTTTTCCTTGTTCAGAGTTGTGCTAAAATATTCTGCCCACCTTTTAATTTGCTGGTTCGATTGGTTATTATTTTTCCTTCTTTGTCTTTGATGTTTGTTGTATTTGGTTTCCCATTGTTTCCTAGCTCTTTTGTTATTTTGTATAGTGTTCTAAGGTCTCCTTGTTTTGCTGCAATCTCTGTATCAAGTGCTTTATTTTCAAGATAGTTATTTTTATCTTTTCTAGTGCTTCTCTTTACCTCTTTGTCTTTTCTAGAGTATTCTATGCTGGTGGCCCTTGTATTTCAGTCTTTTAACCATTTAATAGTTATTTTTTAAATTGTCGTCTTTCTTCAATAAGCTGCCTGGTATTTCCTTGGGTCCAAGCAGTTATTTACTGGTGTCTATGAAAGCTTGAATTATCTTTCTATCTATCTCATTCAAATTTTCCTCTTCATCAGATATGTTCTGACTTGCTTCGAACCTGTTGCTTACACTGACAGCAAACCTTTTTCCCTCAGTCTACTAACATCAAATAATGGTGATTCTCTTTTCTTTTGGTTTCTTCTTAGTTTCAGTTTTAGTTTTGCTATGACAAGGGTGTGATCACTGCCAACATCAGCTCCTCTGCATGAGCATGTGTCCTGTAAGGTTGTCCTCCATTTCTTGTTTATTAAAACATGGTCCATCCGATTTTTAATTCTTCCATTTGGAGAGCACCAAGTAGTTTTGTGGATGTTTTTGTGTTGAAACATTGTTCCTAAAATTAGTAGTCTGTTTTCTAAAGCAAAATCAATCAGTCTCTGACCATTCTCATTTTTGGTCCCAATGCATTCATTTCCCATGCAGTCTGGGTAGTCTCTCTGCTTACTAACTTTGGCATCAAGTCTCCCATCAGAAGGATTACATCATGTTTGTGCACCTTGTTTAAAATGCCCTGCAACTGATTGTAGAAGTTGTCCTTATCTTCATCTGAATGTTCGTTTCTTGGTGCGTATACCTGGATGATAGTTAAGTTTCTGTACTCTTACTTGAATCTGGCTCTGGTAATTCGTTGATGTATCCTTCCCAATCAATTAGTGATTTGTGTGTTTTTTTTCTATCATGATAGTGACACCTTCTTTGTGGTTGTCATCTGCCCTTCCAGAGTAATAAATAGTTTCCCCTGATAGAATAGTGATGCTTCCTGTACCATTCCATCTGCATTTGCTTAATTCTAGTATATACCTTGCTCTTACTTTTGTAACTTGTGCAGTCTTTCCAGTCTGATAAAGTGTTCTGACATTCCAAGAACCAACTTTAAGATGTATTTACCAAAGTGATGGTGATGAGGCAGAAAATAATCAGCATTTAGTGGATCTTCTAAAGGAGGTCAGACTACTAATACCTTTTACATGCATTGGGGACTTCATCTACCCACTTATCAACTGGGAGGGTCCAGAAGTTTTTGGAACTATATAAAGAGGCAGCAAAGGCTACTAGCGAGGTTCCTTTATTGGCAAAGCAAGATAGTACGCTTGTTCAAAATGATGGCGAAATTTTTTCAGCTCTGTATTTGTGAATGAGAAGTTAAATTGCATACCAACTTTTGAGCCAAAACCTGTTGAACCAATAGCTTCCATTAAATTCCAAGAATCCAAACCTATCTAAACTCGATATTACAAAATCAGAAGGTCCAGATGATATACATACTTGAAGAAAGTGCTGGTGTTATTGCAGCACCTCTTATGTTAGTTTTCCAGGCTGTTCCAGATGTATGGAAGGAAGTAATTGTTATTCTGCTATTCAAAAGATTTTTGAGAAATTTATTTGTGACACTTTTTGTTACACATGAAAATTCATGGGCTTTTGTGTAATGAACAACATGGTTTTTAAAATAACCGCTCTTGCACAACACAGTTGCTGAATGTTTTAGAAGATTGGACCCAGCAATTGGATAATAAACACAATGTAGACTGCGTTCCTCATGAAAGGCTTTTACTTAAGTTACATGCATAAGGCATAAGGGGATGTTGTCAATTTAGGGATCAGAGAACACCAGTCCAATCATTCTCAGCGTGTCAGAGTTAATGGAGCAATTTCTTCTAGCATCAAGGAAATGTGGTATTCCACAGGGATCGGTCCTTGTGCCGATTCTGTTTATAATCTTTGTCAATGACCTGCCTGATATAGTGCTCAGTAATCTGATGATGTTTGCAGACGATACAAAAATTTATCGTGTTGTTGATAATGCAGAGGATGATAATCTTTTACAAGAAGACCTTTTCAAATTAATGACTGGAGCTTATTATGGCAAATGCCTTTTAATGAACTGAAATGTAAAGTTATGCACCTAGGACAAAAAAATGCAGGCCATTCATATTTCCTCAATCAGGACTCTTCTGATCCAATCCAATGTGTACAAAGTGAAAAAGACTTGGGAATAATCTGCGATTCTCGTTTAACATTTAGAGAACATGTGGCAGAAATTTCTAAGAAAGTAAATAGCTGTTTGGGGTCAATATTTAAGTGTAGGGCGAACGATAGCTTCATAAATGAGAAGAAATAAATCTGTTGATAATGCAGAAAAACTTCGCTTGGTTTTTCTGTATGGAGTCCTATATTTAAAAAGGACGTCATAGTTATTGAAAATGTTCAGCGCAGAGCAACTAAGCTTATTACATCCATACATGATTTTGAATACCAAGATTGTCTCCGCATACTTGGACTACCATCTCTTACTTATCGCCGCATTAGAGCCGACTTAATTCAGATTTTTAAGATTTTAAACCGATTTGAGGACTTACCGGAAGAATGCTTTTTTACGAAAATAATGGATTCAGTAACACAAGGCCATAGCCTTTGCATTCTGCCTACTTATTCAGATCTGAGGTTCGCAGACATGCTTTTTCTTGCTACCAAATTTTGTTGTACTTGCTAAATCTATAAATCAGTTTAAAACTTTACTTGCAAAAGCTCACAAAAACCAGCCGAAACCTTACAATCCATATTACGAACGTTAATGTCCATGCACAAGGGGCTCATCAGCAAGACCGTTAAGCTGAGTCTTTACTATCAAGTAAACAAGTAAGTAAGTATGAGTATGTTCTGTTTGCAACAATATAACAACTGAAGGTGACTGATGTACAACTGGCTTCATGCACATGCTTTCTTTTGCAAAGTCTAACCTTTGACCTGAAACATAAAGCTACAAATGGCTGTGTTTCTTGAGTGGTCAGCTGCAGTACAAGTGACAGTGAATGGCACATTAGCTGGGTACAGTCCTACATTCAGGTCACATCCAAGCGTGACATATCCCGAGTTATCACTGACAAAAGGGTCGTGCCAAACAACTATCCCCTTATTATCATGTAACTCGGCTGGTACAGACAGATTTTCAGGACAGATTATCATTGGTGGTTCCCTATCTGTAAAGTAATGTGTTTTTACCTTTTATATTTGATAGTAAATTTGATCTTAAAATTGTTTTTAATCAATCTAACACAATCTTTTTATTAGCCTTATGAAGTACGTCCTCAACATAGCATAATTAGAAGAGACGCACAGCAGTGGAGGACCTAGGATTTACCAATGGGGGGGGGGATAATGTGAGGTGCCCTTGAATTTGAGATTTTTTTGGAATTAGTAGACAGCTAGACGTTCTTAGATGGCATCTGAAAAGAAGTTAAACTTAAAATAATGTATGTTTTACCAAAGTAGCCTACTATACGTAATATGTACACACACAGGAAAAGTGAGCATTTTTTTTTTCATGGTAACTGAAGGAGGTGGCTGGCCACCCTATTCACCCCACTGGCACACCATGATTACTATGTTTCAACATACACAGTCACTTACAGGAATTGGGTTACAAATTTATTAAATGCGTTTTGAGATTGCTGACAACAGCCCTGTTTTATAAATCATATAATGATAAATGTTTCTCTAAAAAATAAACTACAAGTAACTCAAAATAAGATCGTAAGGTTTATTCTGGACCTCGCCCCAAGAGCACATATCGGACAGAAAGAACTTTCCTTACTTGGATATCTTAATATAAGTGATAGGGTTAAATTTCTTAGGCTGGTTCATGCTTTTAAAATTTTCAATAATATGGATGCTCCTTATTTAGCTGATAATTTTATAAAGATTTCTCAACAACATTGTTATAGAACTAGAATTTCCAATGACAATTTTGTAATTCCAAATATTAAAGGCCTAGCTTCGAAAACGTTTTATTACAATACTATCAAAGACTGGAATGGTCTACCATCAAACATTAAGTGTATTAACAAACTAAACAAATTTAAACGTGCGGTAAAGATTCACCTTGGAAATGTGCATAAACCATGATTTGTTTGTTTTTTTTTGTTTTTTTTTAATGAATTTACTTGATTGTTTATGGGACCCCATTGGAATTAAGCTGTTTTTCAGCTTTATGGGTTATCCTGGTACTTTATCATTGTTCTTTGTTCTTTGTGAATTTTTGAGTTCCGAATAAACAAACAAACAAACAAACAAATAGCTCAGCCAATGCATCATTTATACATGGTCACTTTAACGATTTGAATACAAAGCAACATATCTTTCCCGAAAAACAAACATACATAATGTTACAGAAACAGACATTAGAATAATAATACTATTAAAAAAAGAATCTGTAGGCAAAGAAATATGCTACAATTATTAATATGATGCAAAAAGCCATTAACAAAGCAGTTGAGAAAATACAGTGAAAATTAAATAGCTTTCAAGATATATGATTTAAATATAAAAATTACATAAAATAAGAAATGGTAGAAAATACATTAAATGTAGTCACCATAGCGAAACTCACCTTCCACAGTAATAATAAACATACAACTGCCATTATTTCCTGCAGTATCTGTAGCCATGCAATTTACTGTAAATGTACCAACTTCCACTTTAAACCCAGATGCAGGTTGACAAGGGGCTTGTAGATTATGGTCAACATTGTCTGCAACATTTGGTGCTTCCCAATTCACAGTAGCAAATTTTTCCCTGTAATCTGTCTGTTGTGTTATATCGCTAGGGCAAGTGACTACTGGATCCTCATTATCTACCAAAATATAGCATTAGACAAAGCTGTGTTTACACAAGCATGTCCAGCAAGGACAAACTTCGAAATTCAATAATTTACATATTTATAGAATAAAATGTTCAAATATCTGAGATATAAAAATATTCATAGAAAATATGCAAGAAAAAGTGTTTATTTTTTACGTGGATGCTTTAAGCAGACAGGGATCACAAGTGGTAAAGCCAACATTTTACTGTAAATGGACAAGTATCCACAGGTCCTCCAGATTCTGGATTACAAGTGGTGTTTAGAACACTTTTAACATTGTCTGTAACATTTAGTGCTTTCCAAGTCACAATAGTAACAGCCTTACCAGGATCCTTTGACTGCATTATCACCAGTATCTCATTATCTACCAAAATATAGCATTAGAGTTGCGTTTACACTAGCATAAAACAAAACATTTTTTCTAATCCTATAATTAGTATATTTATAGATTCGAAATGTCCAATATTTGAGCAAAAAAAATTTGCATAGCAAAGATGAAGAAGGAAAAAGTGTGTATTTTCTATATGGATGCCTTAATTAAGCAGAAGCGATTATGAGGTTTCTCAACACATCTAATCGTATTTTGCTGCTTGTGGTGATAGGTACCGCAAGTTGACGAAGGGAAATAATTGATTTTCGTAGTAAAAATATGAATTTGTAGAAGACAGGTTAGTTTAGATGTTTGTTTGTTTGTGGGATTGCAAGAGACCATGCCAATTTCCCGAAGTCTCCTACAACTTGTGGACAATTTGGGACCCCAATAAATAAATCTAATATAACTGAAATAAAAAAAGTTGTTTTCCACATGGCAGAATTTCTTATTGCACTACTAGTAGCATGTGGAAAGAAAATTGGGCATGTTAATTTCAAATGTTTTTGGCTGTCAAGTTCAGTTGAACAATGTATATTAACACAACATTATTTAGATGATAAGTACTGTATGTGAAAAATGTGTGTTCCCCATTGGAATTCAAGCCAAAGACCTTCCGATTACTGTAGGGATACTCTACCAACTGAGCTATGAAGCCAAGGATACCAGGCATGAGGGAATTTCATATTTTTTCACTTGTCCCAGGACAAGTACCTTTGAAAAATGCACTTATCCTGAAGATAATTTTACTTGTCCCAATATTATTGCACAATAATCATAAAAAATAACACAAAAGTAGAGTATATTTGCTATGCACTGATCTCGCAAAAATGTTTTTCTCTTTTTTAATTGGCAAGAATTTTAATAAATGTATTATATGGAGAAATTCAAATAAAATAGACATAACTGATATTATTCTATGTATGCAAGAGTTTGTTTTAATCGCTTTTTTATTGCGTGTTTAAAAGCCAAGTCAAGACAACTGCAAGTAAAACATTCTCAGGCATAGAATGCTTGATTCCCAAGTGATAAACTAGTTTTCAGCCAAACACTGCACTGAGACAGGATCATATCGTACGTTTTTATCTGTTTGTAGATTTAATCAATACTAACTTCAAGTATATTATTTGAGGCCAAAAATTAGGTCAACAACGCAGCATGCAGTGCGGTGCAAGCGTAACCATAGTCGGTTTTCTGTTGATATCTCTTTGTGCGCTGCCAATTAATCAATAAAATATGCTGTGTAGTGTATTTTCAAGTAATGTAAAAGTATTAGGCATTACATGGTGGAGTAGCATATTCAAGTGCTTGTCCACGGACAAGTGGTCCCTAAGGTTCTTGTTGTCCGACTGTAAAAAACACTTGTCCTAGGCGTTGAGCAAGTGGGTTCGCTCATGCCTGGATACATTTTCGGATTTTCCCATTAGGACACATCTTTTCAATGTACTGCATAATATGCAATAAATAACGCTAATTTAAAAATATTATTTAGAACAAGTTCAGTGATACATTATAAACTCCATTTACTGTACTGTACTGTATGAAACAGAAAAATACATGGCAACTTACATTTTTGGTAGAATTTATTGTGGGCTTAAACAAATCATCACTTGATAGCATAGGACCACCATATGTAATCAATTAATTATTGACTCAAATAATACCTTATCTAAAGAGTAATGCCTACATTAAAAGTTGTTGACCAGTACTTATGAAAGTGAATGAAATGAGCCAAAAATATTCATAATGTATGTTCAAAAACTTGATAAATTGAAACATAATATATATATATATATATATAAATATATATATATATAAATATATATATATATAT